TTCAGATAAAAATGTTAATCCAAATTTAGTGAAGTAAATTGATAATTACAATTTTATTTTGCCTCTGGCTTGTCTATGATAAAATGTTCTCTTTGCCATTTAGATAAGACCTAAATAAGTATGTAAATAAGTCTCCCTGCGAGATATAACATTTGATAGTGGTACTGACTGTAATTGAGGGGAGCAAAATGACTCACTGTGCTAACACTAGGGAAGCAGTCTGAGCGTTGTGGGTCACAGCTAGTGCTCAGCTCATGAACCCTGAATGACTGAAAATTATCAGTTTGGTAACAGTACCCAAACTCATCAGACAAACTATCATTGAGTTTTGGGAGAGGTTTTGTGGTAAGAGACAGACCTCTAGCTGCAAGGAGCCAGCAGTGAGGGAGCAACAGGATTGCTGAAAAAGCATTTAGGAACACTGTGAAAGAAGAACTGCAGCTAAGGTTTGATAGCTGTTCCTGTTCCAGGGGCCTTGTGACTTGGCTCGTAGCTTAGCTCTGCTTCAGGTGAAGAAGCAGAAGGTGCTTTTCTAGGTGAAATTTCTGATACCTGATGTCTGTTTAGACTGTGACTTTTTATTTTCTTCACTTACATTTTTAAGAGACTCAGAGCCAAAGCAGATGATGTTCTGTTACTAGCAGAGGTGATATGTGTTGTACTTTTAAATATTTATAAACCTCTTCTACGCATCTGCTGTTTGATTTTCTATCTCAAGCTTTGATTTAAATTTGACAGGAATGCTGTTCCTGTCAAGACACTAAAAAAAGTTACCTAAAAGGTGGACTCGACTGACAGTCGTAAGATATAGAAAAGCTGTCAGTTGTGTGAGCTTATATGTGTTGGAGGCTTTAGAGTGGTCTTTGAGCATGCAATACAGATTTTTGGTCTGGTTGTCCTTCTAGAGTTGAGTGTGCTAAGTAGGCCAGACTGGTGAAAGAGAATGGTAACTGGGAAGTATATAATTAAGTTTGCAGACTTGTCTCATTAACTTTTCTGTCTCAGTCTGAAGAGCTGTTTCTTGGTGTGAATTTGCATAAAACATTTCCTGGCTGAGAAGTCTCTGAAAAGGCACAGAGTCTTGATGGTTACAGCTCCCTGTGACTGGAACTCAAGCCACCAGTCTTCTGTAGCAGTTTCTGATAACATATGTAGCTTTTTTGTTTCTCAGATTTTTGTTTCTCAGGTTTTTGTTTTTTGTTTTTTTCCCTTCAGTGGGAGATAATACACTTGCCCTACCTCACAGGAATCTTGCATTCTCTAAATACATGAGATGAGTTGCTCAGATGATACGGTGGTGATGAGGGAATGATGATGAACTGTTTATCAGGTTCCTGTTGAACATAGTTCCCATAGAAATAATAATAGTGGCTGTAGAGAAATACAAGTTACCTTACATAAGGGGAAAGAGGAGGCTTTTCTGGGATTTCCACGGTTGTCTCTGCCAACATAGCAATACAGCATTTATGTGGCAGGTGAGCAGTGGAGTGGATTGGCACCAGGCAAGGCCCACCTCCCTCCATTAGCTTGAGTTTCTGGGTGTTGGGAATGAAATCTGTTCCACCCTGGGTCCTCAGCTTTGCAGACACCTGAGTTTTATGGTCTGGCTTTGAAGACGGAGTGCCTCTGATGCAGCAGCATCATTATTATTTATTATTATTGTTATTATTATTTATTTGCACCTAAAGCCTCAGTTGTGGTTGGCTTTCTGCTGAGCATGGAGCTGTATTCAGCTGCAGAGTTTCTAGACCAAATGAAAGTGGTGTGGTGAGGTTGACAAACAGGAGGAAAGGAGCTGGGAGAAGTTTGATGCCGAGAACACATCACTAAGTAGGTCACTTTGGTTTGCAACTCAGTGGTCTGGAATTGTATGAAAGTTGCTTATACTTTTGTAATAACCAAAATAATTATAGTTTTTTTTCCAACTGCTGCTCGTCCTGGCCGTGACTGCATTACCAAGGGCTTGTTGGTGCTCTGGGTGAGGTGGTGCTTTAGGAGGAAGGTGCAGGAGAGAGATGTGGTGTTTCTGGTCAGGATGCAGGTCTTGCCTTTGAAAGGGAAGGAGATTGGTGCTCCTTAAGTGTATTTGGAAGATGGAGGCTTAGTGAAGAGCATAGAAATATGTTAAAAATGAAGGGAAGATTCTCTAGGACTGTTTTGAGAATTATTATTGTGTTATCTAGATAGTATTTGAAATGTTGATATAGTGGGAGCACCCCAAGATGCCTGCTATTTCTGAAGTACTAGGAGAACTTTATTAAATGATGCTTCTGAGAAAGAGGGGAAGGCAGTATAAAAGGTTTACCATAGCTTTTAACTGAAGAATAAAAGTTTTCAAAAGACTTCTAAACGTGTCATATTTTACACAAGTGTCATGGCTGTGTTAAGCATGCACCTCATGACAAGCTGCTTCTGTTCTCAGCACCCGCTGGGAGAAACCCCCCTTTTGCAGATGGGAAACAGGGTCATCTTCACAAACCCTTTGCGACTTCTCTGTCAGAGTAGAGACTTGAACCCAGGCTTCCCAAGGACTGGGTTGGTGCCATGATATCGGGGGGATGATGCCTCTCCTCAGTGAAAACAAAGCAACTTATTTAATCCTTAAAAAACCTCTTAAGTCACTTTGCAGAGAGTGTTTGGCGAGTTAAGTAATGCGTAACCTGTTATGTGCAGTGTAATCGTCAGTTTGACCTCTGCTTTAAAAAACTGAAGTGTGTTGACAGTGATGTATTTTATATTGCCAGGCAGAATATGTTAGCAGCCTGCTCATCTCAGGTTCTTAAATTTTGGGGTTTTTTTCTTCCTCTTACTGTTCTGGGAAAGACTGAAACATAGTTGTTCAAGAACTAAACTTCAAGGTATTTTTCTTGGAGTGCTTGATTTGGCAGACACCTGCAGACATCGGCTAAATGAAATGCTGCTTACAGGCTGCTAATTTAAATGATGCTTACAAGGTTTTTTTGCTTGCTGTCATTTGGATGTAAGACGTTTCTCTAATTTGCTAGTGCAGTTGTAGCTGAAATAAGAAGCTCTGCTAGAGCTTTGAGGAGAGGTGGCAATAAATTCCATCCTACAAGTGACACTATCTTGGCTGACAGGGAAAATTTGCTTGGGAATGTTGGGACCCTCAGCAGAAAAAAGCTGTATTGCAGAGATAAAGTGAAAAGACTACTAGTAGAGAGCTGCCCTTTGATCTTACTTCATCCAAATAAGACTTGAGAAATTAAGGCATCTGACTTAGGATTTAAGGAGACTGTGAGAGTCTGAAGAGTTTGATGGTTGCCACTTAGACCTGTACTGATTTTTTCCTGGCTCTGAAGCTGGTTTTTAATCTTAGGGGAAAGTTCAGGGAAAGAGTAACTGATTAATAAAATTGCTTTCGTACAGTGAACTCATGCAAATAGAAACCTCAGCTAAAGACAGAAAGAGTGCAGAAGTGAGTGCAACCAGTATCTCATGTTTATAACAGCCTTTATCTATGTGGGGAAAACATAGCAAAGTTTAAAACTGCATTTGGCAGGAAGTTTTGGGGGCTTCATCTGCGCTTTGAGGCCTAAACCAGCTGAAGATGCCCCTCTGCTCTGTGTGGCCTGAACTGGCTCAGTACACAGTATTTATTCATCGAAATCCAGTTGAGAACCTGGATGGAGTTGGTATCATCACAAAATGGATGGTTTGGGCTATGGAATGGAGGACAATGGATGTGTTCTGAAAGATGACTGAGAAAGATGGAACAGATAAGGAGCCCAAACCATTAGTTTATGTATAGCCTAGTGTTCAGCACTCAGCTCCAGCCTTTGCATTTATCCCAGGCCTCCCTCCATCTGTAAGAGTGCCATGTCATCAGCTGCCCTGCAGGGAGCTGGTCTGGGAGGCAGGGCTCCCATCTTTCCTGGGGAAGCCAAGCTGCTTGCTGGGGAGTAATCCCCTCAGGAGAGCTGGTTTGCAGCCAGTGCTGCACACATTGCGGAGGGAGCCTCTGCAGCGATGGTGAGGTGGGCATGTGTGAATGTGTGAGGGAAGGCCATATCTTGCTTTGGTACATGCCCCCTGGACTCTGCTGTGCCTTCTCTGAGGGCTGCTCTGTTCCAAACGCAGAGACCACCCTTTGAACTATGGCTCCCACCCTTCCAAAGGGAATGGTGTAACAGGCAGGGCACAAATGCATCCAAATCTTTTAGGCATTTGCTCCTTGGCTGCACAAAGGGCCCACAGTGCTGTAGGCCCATCAGAAACCTTCATCTAGCTGAGGGAGGGACAAGGAATGAACTTCCAGGGGGGTATCTGACCTCCCCCTTACCTGCAAGGTAACATGTCCACAGAAGTGTGTGCAAGGACGTGGCTGCTGCTGATCTGATCGAGCGAAATCCCCTCCCTCCTTCCCTCCAAATGTGAATAGCTTTTTATCCTGTCTTGAAAAGAAAGCAGATGCAAATGTAGATCAGGTACTTTCAGCAGTTTAAGTGCTCTTTGAGGTTGGGAAAAAGAAATCTGATTAGGGTTACAGCTGTTTCATTTCCTGACAGATGCACAGAGTGTTGTGTGCTGGCGTACTGCGGATGTGCACACACACAGCAGCCTCGTTTTGTATCAGTGGCATAACCACACAGCAGCCGGCATGTTCTGAACTCCTTGTCCTGGACACCCTGCCAAAATATGCTTTATGCAGAATTTTCTGTGAACCAGGCTGTAGTGTGTTTGTGTGTGCATGTGCATATAAATTTGTGTGTATTTTCTTCACTTGACTGGGCCTTTGTTGTTGAACTTTTTGTTGCTGGAGTGGGGCGGTGGGCTGTAAACAAGCACAGCTAATTATAAAGCACTTGTTTAAAAAAATGATTTGCATTTGTACAAACAGTACTAGTAAAAGTGCCTGTGTAAAAATACCACAAGTACCCAAATAAGCCCAGCACTGAATGCAGAACTCTCCTCTGTCTTGCAACCACAGCTAAAAAGCTGTTTATAACTAAATGCTGAGGTGGTGTAATTTTCTCTTCTAGGAACTTGGAATAAGAATTCCTAGACCACTGGGACACGGACCAAGCAGATTCATCCCTGAGAAGGAGGTGTGGTAGTATTTTCAAGTACATAGTGAACTTTATGCTTTTAAGGAACATCCGTTCAGTAGTAGGGCACATTTGCTTTCAAGACAGCTGCTGAGCTGCAAAACATTTTCAGTAGTGATCACATTCAGTCCTGGGGAGACTTTGGCCACAGTTCTAGAACAGTGAGAGCCTTGGGGAGCTTTGGAATAGTTATGACCCCTCCCATACTGCTATCTAGCATGAGAGAAACCCAATACTGTTTCCTTGTGAATATCCGGATGTAATTTCCTACTGGTCCACAAGGTACCTGCCCCCCTGCTCTGGGATTGCTTTTTCTTGAGCTGCTGCTGCCATTCTGAAGAATCTGAGAAGCTTCAGAGTGTCGTGGCTGAGCATTTCTGGTGCTTCTCTCCTAATTGTCTGGTAAGAGAATTTGGAGCAGAGGAAAAGTTAGTATTATGCCTGTGGTTTTCTAGGAATTTTAGAACCTTAAGTTTCTGTTTGCTTTTATTTCTCTCTCTCGTCATTTTAGCTAGCTTTTTACCTCTTTCCCTCTTTTTTCCATAGTAAAAGTGATTATTCAATTAGATTTTAGTTACAATAAACTAAGTTAGATCAAACTTGGGTGTTCAAGAAAGTGAAGGTGAGACAGTTAAAAATGAGAAGTCAGTGTTGTACTAGAGAAAGACCAAAGCCAAAAGTCTTCTTTTGCTGCTATAACCACTTGTGATCTCCTAAACGAGAGGTATTAAAAGGATGTTATGTGCCTGATGTGCACTAATGCTATTAATAGATTTATAGCATAATTCCTTTCACTTGGAGCCTCTGAGCACTGTGGTAATACATTTATTTACTATTTTAGTGGTGGTACTTGGACAGTGTTGCTCATTGCTCTTTCTTTTCCATCAGACAATTCAAGTGGGAAACGAAGACGCCACGATGCACACGCTGTTTGCAGATTCTTTTGCCACGCTGGGCCGACTGGACAACGTTACCTTGGTGATGGTTTTCCACCCGCAGTATCTTGAAAGCTTTCTAAAAACTCAGCACTATCTGCTGCAAATGGATGGTCCCCTCCCGCTTCATTACCGACACTACATCGGGATAATGGTATGCAGCGAGCAGAAACAGCCACTTTGGCAGCAGTCTCTGGTCTTGCTTAATAGCACTTATTACTGTGTTTTGCAGCTTCTGGCTGGAAAGGCATTTCATCAGGAGCTAAGGGGGAAAAGCAGAGTAGCTTTGTTTGTGTCTGGTTCACAGGTGGTTTCATAAGATCAGCACTTAACATTCATGGTTTTGGGAGGACTGTGAGAAAAAGGGGGAAAAATCTGTTATAAAAATTAGACAACTGTTTGTTATTGGTGTCCTTATCTGCCCATTCAATGATCTTTGCTCGCTGAAGTTGAATTAAAGTTTTGGGCTGCGTCTTAATTTAATGCAGAAAGAATTAGTGTTTGAATAAATGATAATGGGTCTGTCTTGGCTGAAAAGCTACCTGTAGTCTCCCATGCTATATGTGCCCTAAAACCTGCTTTTGCTGATAAAAATTCACCTAGAGACAGCTTCTATCCCCTGGCAAGTATGATGCAGCATGGATTACTTGCTTCAGGACATATAATAAATCCATGCCTGTACTTCCCCTTGGGGAAGTTACACCTGTAGCCAGCTATAGTTATAGTGTGTATGAATGAGGGATATTTATGTTGTGAGAACAATAATCAAAACAAGCTGATGTGTTAATCTCAGATTTTTTTTTTTTACTTCAGCCTTTGATCACTGCAAGTGTTATTCTTGAATATTTTGGGGAAATGATGACCATGTTACTTGTCATAAAGCGCTTTCTGTAATTGTTTTCTGTATCACATTGTGTTTTCCTTTCTAGGCTGCAGCACGACATCAGTGCTCTTACCTTGTTAATCTCCATGTGAATGACTTCCTTCATGTCGGTGGAGACCCCAAATGGTTGAATGGTCTGGAAAATGCACCTCAAAAACTGCAAAATTTAGGAGAACTGAACAAAATGTTGGCTCACCGACCCTGGCTTATCACCAAGGAACATATTGAGGTAGGTCTTTCCTGGAGTAATGTGAATGTACCCTTTTTTACAGTAATGCAATCACAGATTCTTAGGATTTAAGAGCCAGAGTGGGTTAAAGATGTTCTCTATTAGTGACTTTGACTTCAGCACTACATCACTGTGATACAGCCTGATACAGTATCACTTGTGCCCTTGTAAAACTAACGTGATCATAACTGCTCGTAAATGACTAAAATTTAATTTACAGCACATTTGTAATTTGACATTTCAGAGTGTCATGCACCTCCTCAGGTTGTGTGCTTTCAGTAGCTAGAATGCCTGGGTGTTTGAGATGCTGCCAGAGGTTAGGCAGAACATCAGCCACCACTTTTTTGTCTGGGTTGCTGCTGGTTCAAGTGCTGAGTTTTCAGGCTGGGCTGGAGGGAGCAGGCTGGCAGAGCTGCCCAGGGGAGCAGAGGTGGTAGAAAGAAGCCACTTCAGCACCAACAAGCCACCAAGGGGCTGCTCCTCTGAGGGCCACCCAGAGCAGCCAGCTCCGAGGGCACGTACTGCAGTGTGTGTGTGTGGTGTACAGTTTGTGAGCAGCTCTCAAGGCAGGGGCAGGCCTGCCCCGGGCCAAGCCCTGGCTACTGGAGCACCTCCTCTGCTCTCTCTGTGCCCTGAGCGAGGAGGACGTGGGTGCTGGGACTTTCTCGGTGCTGCCTTGCCAGGCGGAGAGGCTATGACAGGTCCTGCTGGGAGGCAGGACGCTGGGCTGTGGGGGAGGGCTTGTGCTCTGCCAGAAGGCCCCAAACCTCCCACACTTTCCTGCCTGAAGGGGAAGTTTGGGGTTTGAAGCTTCTTGTCAAATCTAGAGCATTCCAGCCCCAGGGACAAGATGGAGGGAGCGTGGCCCTGATGCCAGGTTTTTACACAGTTGATCTGCGAGGAGTTGCCAGGGTTTTCTGATGCTGCAAAGACCATTTGAAGAAACATGCAACTGTTGTGGTTGCATCTTCATTTGAGGTGTGAAATTTCAATGGAAGTCAGTCTGGCCTCAATACAAACCACACGGTACAAAAGGGAAACCCAAACTGATTCAATCGGTGAGGACTAGAGAAGGGAGAGAAGTCATCTCCTTTGTGGCTTAACCCTGGCAGGTCACCTGGTAACAGGATACTGAGCACACACTAATGGCAGCGGAGAGTTAGGAAGCAAGATTGGATGTTGGAAAAATAATTTTGCCTGGTAAAGAAGTGTGTTGATCAGCTGCATTAAGGTGAAGGTCTTACGAATGACTTTTGTCTTGCATTATATTTTAAGCAACTTTTGAAGACTGAAGAGAACAGCTGGTCCCTGGCAGAGCTGATCCATGCAGTTGTTCTCCTTACGCACTACCACTCCCTTGCTTCCTTCACGTTTGGCTGTGGGATCAGCCCAGAGATCGACTGTGAAGGGGGTCACACTTTCAGGCCCCCTTCTGTCAGTAACTACTGCATATGTGATATTACTAATGGTTACCACGGGGTGGAGGAAATCCATGCCAGCCCAAATGGAAATAATCCAGTAAGTATCTGTCTGAACAAGCAATCTCTTTCTACAGTAGTAGTTTCTTTGTAAACTTAATACGTGGAGGGTGCCTGTCTCTTTTTGTTCACTGGGAGTGAACGAAATGAACCTAACGAAATGAACCTAAATGAACCTGAACAAATGAACCTAAACCTGCTGGAAAAGTGTATTTAGGAGCAGCTGAAATGACAGTGGTAAGCTGGGGGAAGCTACCAAAGCGAGAGAGATACAATCTCTGTTGTCTTATTTTTTGGATCTCCTGTCATTCTCATAAAGGCAAACTGAGATGATTCCAGGTCTCAACTAGTTCATGATATGTGTCCTGAGCAGCAGTGGCCAGGAATGCTTTTTTCATGGGTGCAGTGGAAAGTTGGCTCTGCCTTTGATTCCAGCCTCTGACTTTGTTGCCTTGAGGTGTCCGTGATGCATCACACAACAGATCATTTCAACAGATCACTCACAGTTTTCTGACTGTCTTTAAACCAGCATTTCCTGCCTGCAGCAGTTATGCTGATCTGTACTTGCCTCCACTTAGTGAAAAGCATGATGTGAACTGCACTTTGGTTTAAGAACAGCCATGAGGGCTTTTTCACTGCAGGGTCCTTGCCGATGACACTTTCCTGCAGCAGTGAGGGTTTAAATGGCATTTAAATTTTGTTTGATGGAGCTTGCTGGCTCTCTCTCTGAAGGAGCAAACTGCAGAAGGCAGAGAGGAAAGGGGCAGAACTGTATAAATTAAAGATAACTTTATTACGCTTTGTGCTGATGGATTTTTACAGGACCGAATGCTGAATTAATAGTCTTGTGGTGTTAAAACAGCTCCTGTGAAATACGATTATCTTGAACTAGCTTTCTTTTGAGGCTTCATTAAATCTGCATTTACACTCACTCTTCCTTTTTCCTTCAGTGTTTCTTCTCTGTGAGCAGAGAAGGGGAAAAATACAGTTGGGTAGTAAATTGTGGTTACTTCCTCTATCAGAATTTCTGTTACAGCTCCTTGTTTTTCAGTTGTTAATTTAGATTAAGTAAGAGAAACTAATTTTAGTGTGCGAACCACTTGTTCAAAATGCTGTTGTTTTTAAATCGTGCTGAAAATTCCAGAGATGTAACTGAGAAGAGATGATGACTAAATTTGAACCATTGGGTCAGTACAGGTTTCTTTCAAAAAATGTTTTCCTTGAAAAGTCCATATTTAAATATGTAAATGAAGGATATCAGTTGCGTTTAAATTTTCTGGCTTGACGATTTCTGCCATCATTGTCAGTTTTTGTTGCGTGAAAATGAAACGTGTTTCTCTTCTTTTTAAGCCTACAGAGTCGGTCTGTGAAGTTGAAGCTCTTATGGAGAAGATGAAGCAGCTACAGGAGTGCAGAGACGAAGAGGAGGCCAGCCAGGAGGAGATGGCTACACGTTTTGAAAGAGAGAAGAGAGAAAGCATGTTCGTGTGTTCTTCAGGTAGAACAGATGCAGAGTGTATATATCTTTATTTAGGCTTTCTCAGACTATTTGAAGAAATACTCACCACTGCAAAAGGGAGGAAAAAAAAGTGTTATTAGATGTCTCAGAAACATTACCATTTCTCTGAAAGGATCAAGATTAGGGATGCGTTGTTTTCTTCCAGAACACTTTAAAAGCAAAGTAGTGCCAAAATTTGTGGCTTCTCTCAAACACACCATAGCAATATTATGTTTAATAAAAATCTCCAGTGGAAATGCAATCTCTCTTTTCAGAGATTTGAAAGTTTCACAAGAGATTTAAGCATCTCACAAGACACTGTAAAAAAGGCCTTAACACACTTTGCTGTTTAAGTGTATGAAATGTTGCTTTCAGGTGACTGAGAGACAATACCTAACCTCTTAAAGGTTTGAGGTTGTCATGGACTCTTCAGCAGCTTCATCTGGAAGTCTCAGAAGTCTCTTTTTTAAGAAGCTCTCTGTTCCAAAACAGGTTTTCCCCTAACATTTTTATAGACCCCTTGAGTTAGGAGGGAAGTGTCCCCTAGACTTAGGGGACAGGGTGAAGACTGGGGCACAAAAGAAGGGAGAAAAAGATGTTTGTCTGTTAGAAAGAATCTGAGTGTTTCTCATGGAGTTGCCTCTGAACACCACAGCTGCAGTAACACCGAGCTGTGCCAAAGAACTCTTCATACGGGTAGTCCAGTGAAACTCTGTGTTTGTTTAAAAAGCACAGAGGCTCCCATTCTTCTGCAAGAGTTCTGCTAGGAGACTTCCAATTTGTTCTTACCAAAATTGTGTGAATTTCTGTTTGATATTAACAGAAGATGAAGAATCTGCAGCAACAAGAGATGTGTCTCGTCACTTTGAGGATACCAGCTATGGTTACAAAGACTTCTCCAGACACGGAATGCATGTGCCCACCTTTCGTGTTCAGGTAACAAGGACAGGGGCTGCTGTTGGGAGGCTTAGTGCACAGTCTGTTTGTTGTGCCCAATACCAGACAGGGAAATCACTGTGCTGTCACTTACTGCCCTGTGGATGAGGCCTAAAGCCAGCAAATGAACAACCCCCACCTCCCAGTGGATTATCTGCTCTGAGATCAATTACATTAAAGCATTGGGTCTTCACAAGTTCATTTCTGACATTCTCCATTCTGCATTTTTTACTTATTCTAAGGATTATTCCTGGGAAGACCATGGCTATTCCTTGGTTAATCGTCTTTATCCAGATGTGGGACAGCTACTTGATGAGAAGTTTCATATTGCTTATAATCTGACTTACAACACAATGGCCATGCACAAAGATGTGGATACCTCAATGCTAAGACGAGCTATTTGGAACTATATTCATTGTATGTTTGGAATAAGGTCAGTTTTACTCTTTTTGTTCTAAATGCGTTAGTTTTTCTTTCTCAGATGGAAGCAGAGCTGTTATTTAAGCAAACGTGTGTATTTTTTAAACATATTTGTGTTTATGGGGAAGGTACAAATGACTCAGTAACTTATTTTGCCATAGGAACTTAGAAACAATGCAAGTGAAATAACTGCTTCTTGAAAATGAAAGTGTTTTTCTTTCAATTCCGAACAGATACGATGATTATGACTATGGTGAAATTAATCAGTTGTTGGACCGCAGCTTTAAAGTTTACATCAAGACTGTGGTTTGCACTCCTGAAAAGACCACAAAAAGAATGTATGATAGCTTCTGGAGGCAGTTTGAACACTCTGAGAAGGTACAGTTTGCGTGCATGCTGAGGGACAAGACACGGGCCCCTGATGGGTGCCACCCTGACAGCCACAGCTACCCACCTAGCACTTAAGCTCTAGCTGGTGTTACTGGAATTCTGCTCACACTCATTAAATTCATTAGGAAGCGTAGTATTCCCAGGCTGAAATACTTTCCCATTTCCTACTGCATGTTTGCTAGCTAACAGCTGACATGGACTGTGCAAGCTCTGAGCAGTATGGGGGGGTTAGACACGTTAATCCTACAGCTTCACCTCAACTGCAGTTGGTACTGCTTGTATCCCAGAGAGGCAGGGAAGTGATGTGAGATCCATCCCTCCCCTGGCCTCAGACTCAGAGCAGCTGCAGGCTTGCCCAGGGTCTGTGCAGTCCCCTGGTCCTTTAACCATGGGTGGCCCCAAAGCAGTTCCTTTATGGTAAAGCCTGAAGCTCTGCTACTGGGTTATAGTCTGAATTGCACCCCTCAGTCATATTTCTTGCTGTTAACTCTCAGATATTTGCTCCATCAAGTGTACATTCTCCAGTTTTGATTTGGAAAAATATTCCTCACTTAAAATCAGTGCTGAAACATAAAGATGCCTGAATCATTAGTGTTCAAATCATCAAAGGCTCCAGTTCTTGCTAAACCCCCTAAAACAGGGTCATAACTACAGTGATTTAATAATGTTCAAGTAAAACACTACCTGTGTTTTGGTTAGACTAACTGATAGACAAGCTTTTCAAGAACACAAATCCTTCTTTAAAGCCCAAAACTTTGCGTCTCCGTAGCCATCAAAATCCAAATGATCGTGTGTGTACGTGTCACTGAACGCAGTCACCAACCATCCTCAGGGAAATCATGCAAATGAAACCACACACAGCCCTCACATGCTGGAGCAAACTCAAAGCCACCTGCTGTCAGTGAGAAAATACTTTTCTCGCCCTCCCCCACGCAGTTTCTGATCTCATCCTCAAAGAAAAACATTAAAGACATTGAGGAGAAGAGCAGGGGAACACTCCGGTAGCTACTGAACACCTGTGTCTCAGTAAAGACAGCAGTTTTGTGGCACTTTAGAGTTTTTCTTGTGCCTCACCTTGGCGAACCGCTCCACATTGTTCAGGTGATAACTACCTGTGTGTTTCCGCAGGGGAAAACGACCTTATCAGCTCTGCCTTTGCTAACACCCCGCTCTGCTCCGCAGGTACCAGCTGCCCTTTTGCCTTTAATCAATTAACCTCACTAAGCTAAATTTGAACAAGCAGTGCAGATTCTGCTGCTGCTGAAGAAGGGCTTGTGTGCTTGAGAGCTTGTCTGTTTTTTCCCAGCTAAACCAGCTGGTCTACTAAAGGGTGACTGCCTCTTCCTGGGAGCACGGCCCTGCTCAGGTGCACGTGTGTCCCCCTGCTGTGCGATGTCACTTGCTCTGTCCCCAGGGAGCTACATGGGGAGAACTGATGGTCTGGGTGGCTCACACAGGCAGTGCTCCCCTGCTGCTGCTGCTGCTGCTGCTGCGAGCACTGACACGAAAACCACAGCCCTGCAGGCTTCCTGTTGCTGCAGCACGTCATTGTGAGCACACCACTAAAGCCTGACTTCTCTTTCCTGAAGGTCCATGTAAATTTGCTTCTGGTAGAAGCTCGGATGCAAGCCGAACTACTTTATGCTCTGAGAGCTATTACTCGCTATATGACCTGATGTCTCCGGCTGCCTGTCGACGTTGGAATGTTCTGCAGCTGCAGTGTGGCAGAGGAAGATACGAAGCCTCAGGACCAACAGTAGCTATAAGTTAAGATGCCCATTGTGCCATAACTCCTTTAGTTTCAGCTATTTCCGTGTTTGGAATATCGTTGCTGCCACTCGGCAGTGAATGCTTGGCAGTTGAAAAGACAGGGTTGTGCGGAAAGTGCTGCCTGCTCATGGTATTTTGGCTTTAGACAGTACGGGACATTCTATGAACTTGTGGCAATATAGCAAACTATAGATATATAGATCTTGTGTTAAGGCAAATACTGCGGGAGTTGGAGCGCGAAAAGAAGTGGGACTTGATGACATTTGCTTTCCCTACAAGAATAATTTTAGAAAATCTTGATGCTGCTATTTGTGCAGGTGGAGTGAACAGACTCAGGCTGTTCCAGTTAAGCTAGAAGTGAAAGTGAGCACTGCTATTGTCTGAGCCTTTACTGTGTGTGGTTTCAAAAATGCCTTGTTATTTAGATTCCCTTTTTAATCAGAACTAAACCTCTCTGTCCACACTGATAATCTGAAAGATAGCAGTCAATTTTCTCAACTAGTTTAGCCTTAAAATGCTACAGGACGTTTGTTCAGCATTATTTTGTGAGCTCCAAAGTGCAATGGTCTTCCTATGGAAAAAAGGGGACTGGAGTCCTCAGAGTTTTTTAGAGATCTACCTACGCAAAGTGTCGAGTAGCTTCTTGTCCTCTTTTTCACAAATGAACCAGGAAGGAGATAGGACAAGGTGTGGGAATGTTGTTCTAGACTGCCAAACAGTCCTACTGTATTACATGCCCAACGCTGGTCTTACTGATTTTTGCAGTTGCTTAAATAACTAGGCTAAAAACCATCTATTTTTAGTAAATCAAAACGTGATTAAAATGCTGACGTTTAATATACAGTGGTTTTGGAGAACACATGAGTACTTTTGTATGAGTGTGAATTGCTTTTTAAATTTGTCAGTATTACTGGTATTTTTGAAATAAAGGTAACAACTTTTTCTCTTGGTGTTTCTGTGTGGTTTAACTTTAAGCTTGTGTTCTGACTGGTCCAAAGACCACTTTAAAAATGTTTGAAACAGCAACTGTGCATACTTAAAATGATGAGCCATGAATTTTTCAACTGAGTCTAAAATGATGGGAGAAAATTCAGTTTAAAAACATAGATCTAGATCTTCATTAATACTGTATTAGAAACCTTCAGTTGTGAACTAATTCCAGATTAGGCTGCTAATTTTCACTAGCTACTGCCAGAAGGATGGTGAGGTCTGTGCAGTCAGATGGAGGAATTTTATGGCAAGAGGTAACAGAGTGGGGGGGTTGCTAAAAGGGAGTGACAAACTCTTCTGGACACACTCCTAGAGCTGGTTGTAAGAGGGATTATAGTTTAAGTGTAAAAACTCCTACCTGTTTATTTGTAAGGCAGGAAACCGTGTCTTGAGTTCACAAAGTGTCTGGAGAACACTCCGAGGCACATGGTCTGATTCTTTGGGTGCTCTGTGCAGGGCCAGGGGATGGACTCGATGATGCTGATGGGTCCCTTCCAACTCAGCATATTCTGTGATTCTACAAAATGGATTTTCCCAAGCCCATGAGTAGAATCAATCTGATTTGTGTCCTCTGGCCTGGGTCTCAGCTCAGACTAGTTTCTCTTACTGTAGAACATTCTGGGAACAGTTTTTAGTTTACAGTCCAAGAAGCTAAAATACCTAAAAAAATCTAGGGGAGAAAGATTAATAAACCGTCAAAAATTGTGACTAACAGGAAGCATCTGGTGCTTCCTCTTAACTGAAAATACAGGAATTTTAGTGTTCTAAAAAACAGAGCAAAACTTTCCTGTCTAAAGGCATATCATGCAGCTGAGCTGTGCCTTCCCAGTCTGTGAATGGTGTTTCTGCAGCATCTCAGTCTCCTGCTACTTTTTGGGGTCAAAGGTAGACATGAATTTTTCCAAGAAACCTAACCTGGCCATTTCCATCCAATGCTCTTCAGGCACACGCAAATGCCCTCTCCCTTTACAAGCAGTGAACACTGCAGCATGTGTGTGTGAGTGGCTGCATACGGTCACAGTTGCCATCAGAGCACGAGCCACAACATGCAGGCAGTCCTAACTGCACACCAAGCTACTCACTTTGGAGAAGGGCCCTGAAAGTTTTCAGGGATTTTCCATTAAAAAACGCAGCGGGGTTTGTGGTCCTAAGTAGAAGACAACCAGCGAGGCTGTTTGTTAAGCACAGTGTGAGCCAAAGACAGCGGGGTGAGTCTTTAAAAACAAGACAATGGTTAAGTCGACAGATGCTTCATCACAGTAGCGATGGCTGCCCGGGGCTGCAGCTGTGAGTGATGGCAGGGCACGAGGGACCGGCCCCAGCCCTGCCTCAGTGACCTCAGGGGCACTGCACTCCTCAGCCCTGACAGTCCCAGGAAGCCCTGCAGAGCCCCAGCGTGCGGCTGGGAAGGGCAGCACCTTGTGCGTGCAGCAGCAGCAGCAGCAGCCAAACACCCCCAAAGGGAGGTGTTGCTGAACAGGAATGGGCTCCTGCACACAAGAGACCTGTTTCATTGAGGTTTGTGACAAAGATACCCAAATGGTAGACGATGCTATAAGAACACATCTGAAATTCAGCATTCTGGGGCTGCTGCTTCTTACCCACAAGTTTTTTCTCCGGAGAAAGACCTGGGTCCATGCAGCTCCGCTGGAGTCACTGCTGGGCTTTGCTGATGGGTGTTTGGAGGCCTGTGCTGCCCTCTTGACTCAATCCAGCACTTCTGAAGGCACCTCCTGAAGTAGAGGCCAGAGCTCACTCACAGTGGCTGCCCCAGCTTCAGTACCTGCTGTGGGACCCCCAGATCTGCCGTGTGCTACAGGACACAGCCCTTGGTTACAGTTTGATCAGCAATGAATTGACGTAATTAGCATTTTATTTGAACAAATCTTAATTGCCTGAACACCACCTTGACTTGAGCCAGCCCTCAGTTCCAGGTTGCCGCTGACAGACCCGGCACTTGTCAGTTTTGACCAGAGCTGCTGACGGGGCTTATCCTTGAGGCCCTTTCCACTGCCCCCACCCTGCCCTGCACAGCCGGGTCTTTGCCTGCCTTGCCATGATGCAAATGCCAAGAACAAATGCTCCCTCCCCACAGGGAGTATTTACTCACCATCCTTTCTTTAATACTCCCCAAAAGCAAATCCATTCTTTTCTCCAAGAAACAAATGGAGCCATTTATCTTCCCTTCAACTTCAGCTAAAATTAAAATGGCAAAAGAAGGGATGATAATTGAGATATTTTCAAGCTCAGCAGAGCTGTTGTAAGAGCCAAACCACACTGAACTGCTGAGCAGTTCCTGCCTGTGGATTGCAGGAATGGAGGCTGCTCCACACTCCTGAAGCGACTCACTGTGGGGCTGAGCCAACTGGGCACAAGAAATAAGGACGCTGCTGAGACACAAAGAACACAGAAAATTTCATTACCTTCACTGAAGTTTCCTCCTCACCATTCCCAAAACCTGGACCATGAGATTTCCCCACACCTGGCCTTTAGAAGCAGGGGGCCTAAACTAGGAAAAAGGTCTCCCTACTCTTCTACTGTGCTCCACTTCCCAGCCTCCTCACTTCCTCTCCTCACCTGGAAGCAGAGGCCTGGACAATGCCAAAGGTTCAGCAGTGCCGCTGAGGGAGCTCGGAATCGCTGCCTTAGAACAACAACTTCTTCCAGCCTGTGCAGGGATTGCCAGGCTGGAGGCTCCCCTGCTGCACAGCACAGGGTGATGCTGCTGACCCTCAGGAGCAGAAAGCCCGGCAGCTTAGCAGTCTGAGGTCAGAAAAGAGAGAAATGGGTCAGGCCTGTAAAGCTCCCTGGAGCCAACTGGGCTGTTAATGCCTGAGGCCAGCGATGCGCCTGCTGAGCTAATCCATGGGCTACAAGCAGGGACTTCTACATGCTGAAAGGATGAAAACAGCAATAAACAAGCCAGCAGCAGTCAGAAGGAACAGGGAGGAACAGGCCTTTTTTTGCCCCGTGGATGGAGACGCAGGTTCAGGGGAGACAACTGGCCAAGAAGTCTGAGAAGCAGAGGCACACAGGCGGCTCCTCGGACTGTTGGAAGAACTGAAAGAAGAACACAACAGACCAGCTAAAATCCTCTCTGACATCAGGGGTACAAGTGTTTTGCCTTAAGATGTGAAGTCCCAATTCAGGAAAGGCCAGCACAGCTTATATGCTGTAAGTGCCAAGGCAGGAGCTGGGATACTGCAGACCCCAGCCACAGAGTATCAGAAAAAGAAAGGGGGATCTCCAAAGGAAGGGGAAGTGACTTTCCCCCAACCAGTGACAGCATTCAGTCTGAACAGTGAAGCTCATGGAGGAACACAGCACTGTGCCCCAGTAGCATCTGGGTTACTCTGTCACAGAATTTCCTATAAAGTAAAAGCGCGTCCAAGCCTGTAGGTGAGATGTGGCTCCTGTCACATAATGTTCTTCTGTACTGCACAGCATTTTTGGTACCACAGAGGTCCAAGTACTCAGTGGTAAGTTACCTTTTAAAAACTAAAAGTTCAGCAAATACAATTGTTTCTTTTTCCCAGCCAGGAAACTATGGAATCAACAGACAAATCACACTGAGCAGCTGCTTGATTGGCTCAAGTCTATTGTAAAAATAATTACACATGCAAAAATTTCATACAAGCTCTTAGAAAGATAGCCACGCTCTTTAACATTCTTCCCCATGACAATATACAGGTATATTAGAAATATAAAGCTATACAATTTACACCACCAAAGGAAAAAAAAAATAAATAAAGAGAAAAGACTGACTAAAATGGAGTAATAGGCACAGCTGGAAGAAAGGAGTGATGGCTTTGAATTCTGTCGAGAAGTTTTTCTGCCACAGGTTTGAACTCTCTTTCCCAGTGTAGTTTGTGGGAGTCCCTTCCCTCTCTGTCGAGGCTGCAGTCCAACGCTAGGTTTTCATCTGTAATCAAGGAAAATATCGTCATCAGTTCCAAATAAAAATATACCCAACTATGTATTTTATGACTACAGCACATACAGCTTACCAGCTGTGTATGCTGATGGCTTAAAAATAACTTTGCACTTCAGATAAGCTGAGCATCACTGAGGGATTTAGACTGAATTGAAAATAAAGGATGTTAAGGTCAGTCAGACAGTGAAAAGGACATTGCAGGTTCTTTTATTCTTACAGGTGTAGCTAAACTGTGTCTCCAAGACCAAGCATTTACTGGGACTGTCGCTCTGCAAAGTACCCAGGATTTAACATTACTCACAGCAACTCTGCTAAGGTAAGGAATCAATTAATCTAAGTACAACTATGTTTTCCCTGTCACAAATTGCTTTGCTAATCTGGTTCATGGAGACCCTTTCAAACTCTACTATCATTCTGGGGGAACTTGAAGCACGCTAGTTATTGTATTACAGATGCCCTCCCTTCCTCACAAATTTCAAGAATAAAACAACAGGACACTCTTTAATAAAGGCAAGCAATGTTAGGAATTAAGGGAAGTCATCACTCATTATTCCCCCTCTGTTATGCCTGGCATTGGATGTGGCAAAGAGACAAACTCTTACAGAAAAAAGAAATCAGTCTGTGCAGCCAGTGGCATTCTCCTGAATCCAAGAATCCACAGACACAACTGATAATGCTGAGCAAATGCTTTCATATAGTTTAACAGAGGGATATTTGACATTAGGATATTTACTTTAGACCATAAATGGGCCTAAAATGAAGGTGGAATCCTGCTCCAAATGGGAGTGTCAAGTGTGACTTACCGTTGGCCTAGACTATGAAAGAGCCCCAGATTCACAACATGTTAAACGAGTAACTCTGTCAGGGATCTTACTGCACAGTCACAGCAGGTAAAACAACTTGGGGCTGAAGAGAAACTTCAGTTCTCACACTTTTGAGTCAAACTTTGTGTAAAAAGAGATGCTCAAGCATCCAAAGGCATGCCAAGGTGCCTGTGCAGAGCAGATGGCCTGAGCTGCAACAGCTATAAAGGAAGGAGCAACATTCCTGGTGCATGGAGATGGGCTCTGGTTCATACAAAGCTACCAGCAACTGCAAACTTGTATGCCACTACACTGTTTCTAAACTACCAAAATTACAGGTGAGGTAGATTACAAAAGGGTTCTGCATAAAGAGATGCCATTTAAAGCCTTTCTGTAATAAAATAAAGAGGAAAAAACCACATTCTGTCAAGACAGATGTCATGTCTCTAACGGAAGAAAACCTGTACCCAGAGATAAAATCCAGCCTCAGTCATCAGATCTACATTTGATGATGTCATAGGATAATTTAGGTCAGACAGGACTTCTGGAGCAGAGCCACCATGTATAAGGTTGCTCTGATCCATGTACTGTTGAGTACTGAACACCTATCTCCAAGGACGGAGATTCCACACACTTTCTGGGCAGGCTGTTCCAGTGCCTGGCCCCTGCCATGAAGAAAATTTATTTTCCTAATGTTTAATTGGAATTTCACATTATTGCAACTTGTGCCAGTCTGCTTTTGTCCTATCAATGGCACAGTAACCCAACATACCTAAAATGACTCAGCAGCAGAGAACTGAAAGAACCTGAACAACCTTGGAAGACAAGGGATTATGGGCCTTGTTTTCAGGGAGAATTGCTTTGCCTACTCCTGACTTTTCTACCTAAATTAACTATCTTTAACACAGAGCAAGAAACATTACTCCCTTTTAGTAGGCAGCTGTGGCTCCCAGAAGTTGATTGAACGTTTATTGAATCACTGAGGTCAAGAATTCCAGTACTACAAGAACAAGGGTCAGAACCAGTTCAAAGCTGAAGTGTTGAACTGAAACAGTAAATTTCCCAAAACAGAATGTGAGTAACACTGTGGATCAGCAAGGATCAGTGTTCCACATGCAAGCTGTACATCCTCAGATAATTTCATTTTCCCACGACTCTCCTCAAAAACTAGGAAAATTGGGTACTTGCCAAACAGCGTATGAACTGGCTGAAAGCCCAGGGAAAAGAAAAGCACACTGGGTCTGCACACTATGGGGGAAGCTGAAGACCAGAGTGCAGACTTCAGTGGTCTGCAAGGGCTACCCACCCTCATAACACTGGCAAGGCAGGGGCCAGGAAGCTACTAATATGTCACGTAAGAGTTCACATGTACTGAGATTCCAAAATAACCTCCTCAAATTGATAGTGGAGGTAAAGTCGAATAGAAGAAAAAGTGTGGAAAGAGCGAGGGAGAAAAGAAATTTCACTGAATGACCAAACTGAAGAATGTTCTCAAGACAGAGGTTCATCTCCACTGCTATTCTTGAGGGCCTGGAGCAAGGCAAAGCTGCTGCCAGGGGCCTGGGAACATCAGCCTCCAGAAGCTTTGAGTCAGTAAAGTGACATGGAACTCAAGAGCAGCTAAAAGAAGACAAATGACAAGTGCCACTGGAAAGCAGTGCTGCTGCATCTCAGGCTCTGGGGATGAAGCAGGGAAAAAGAAAAACAAATGGTATCTTTTGTCCAGTTTTTCTCTTGGGCCTAACATCTTTTCAGGCTATTTCCACTGCCTTTTGGCTCCCTCGTAATCTCTTGTCATCTTGTGCCAGGTAGGGGAGGGAAAAATAAAGGGGAGGAGGCCAAGCACAGCAGGTGAAGTGAGGTGTTGCTGTGCCATGCTCCACTTTTTCCGCTTCCTGAGGGTGTGCTGACGCTTGAGTACAGTTCACTGATGGCCAGCAGTTGCCTCCTGCTTCCTGAATGATAGAATCAGAGCAATGATGGTTCAAGGCTGTTACTGAATACAATGGGAGGAGGAAGACGCAGGACAGTATTAACCAGCTGCTATTACTAAGATTTGTTGGCTCTTTGCACACAGAAGAACCAGATCCAATGAGGAAGATGTGCTTCTTTTACTGCTGCTCTTCTGACTACAGTGTGAAGAAAGCCTTGCCCTCTGATTTCATTCTAACCTATTTTTAATTAATTTGTCATTACAGTTGCATTACAATCACAATTGCAACTGCAATTGCAATCATACATGAACTTCTGGTTCATGAAAGTTATACCTCTTAGTGAGTGAGAGTCACAATTACTATCCAGCCCGGACTCTGCAGTCAAATCAATTGCTGGAATAAGCAGTGTTAAATGGACAGGAAAAAGTAAGTACAAATTTTCTAAAACAAAGATATATATTCCTTGCTGTATGACAGAAATTTCACGCATGATTGTGGCTGTAAAGTTGCAGAATGTTAAAAAGTGCACTAATACCTTGAAACACTGATATTTTCAGGTAAATAAATCCTCACAAATCCACCCACTTTTCTGATTGTCTAAAAACAAGAGACCATGGGGATCTCACATTCTGTCTGAATCTGACAGCAAGCATAAATCTTCAGTCAATTTCCAATTAAAACCATATCAAAATTAGTTTCCTTCAATTTCATTGACATTTTAAAGATTAAAGTGTTTTTAAAGATAATTGCAAATGACCTACCCAAAGTAAAATCATTAGCAAAGCAGTGCTCAAAAAATAAAGAAGGAAAATCACATCTATTGACTACAGGACCATCACATAGCAACTGAAGTCTATAAAATTTGAAGCAAAAGTAAGGGGCCAGATGAAAAGATCCCACTGGGTAAGTACATCAGGGTCCAAACATCCACCTTCCAGCCTGCATTTGTGGAGGAGCGAGCCCGCCCTCCCTGGCTTTTGGGAGCAAATGAGAAATCGTCACGATGTTGTCCGTGCCCGCAAAGAGGCCGTGCTGAGCAAAGGGTGGCCAAGCGGCAAGCTCAGCCTGCTGCCCCCCAGAGCCCTCGGGCTGAGGGGAAAAGCCATATTGCCCAGCAGTGTCCGCTGTGTCCTGTGCAGTAACCAGCTCTGCAGCCACCAGCAGAGCCCTCGCTCCTCATAACACCTGCAGTGACCTCTGAGGCCAGAAGGGCCCACACACAATGACAGGTATGCTTTGCACTGAAGGTCTAAGCAGGCAAAAAGGCGGCTGGTGGAAAGCACTAGGAGCGTGCCAAGTAGGCAAACTAACTAGAGCGGGCAGTGAGAGCTGCCAACTCCACCTTGGCAATCTGTAAGACCTGAGGGAAATGTGCTGCATGGCAACAGACCACTGTGCTGCTGGATGGTCTATACCAGCCAACCACTTAAAGCCACGTGACAGACTTCCCAACCAAACTAAAACTGCTTTGATTTTGCTTCTTCCGTTTCTTTTATTGAGGGAAAGAGACCAAGATTACAAATCTCACCTAAAAGTGACGTGAGCAGCACCAGCAACGTGTCGGTATCTTCTCCAAAGCATGAGGCTGCACTTGTGAAGTTTTCACTGTAGTTCCACAGGGTCTTGCATATCAAACAAGATAGCTGCCAGTCTGCCGGCCCGAAGTCTTGCAAACAGTCAACTAACCTGTCAGTACCAAACAAAAACAGTGGTTTGCTCCACCTGATTTTCTCCTGAGTCCTTCAGAATCTGGCAGTCTAGAAATGTCAGCAAACTCCATGCAAATTTGCAGGAAAATTCTGTGTTAATAAACTTCAGATGCTACTTTCTTCCTCAGTAACTTCACCCATTTCATTCAGCGTAGTTCCCTAAGGATATGAACATGCCTTTCTACATGGACGTGTGTTTGCTGCCTGTACCTGTCCATCCCCTGTAATTTTTTAACCCAATTACCCCATTTCAGTGACATGCATCATAAATCTAACCATTTTAGGGACACTAAAATTCCATCAAATTTCATTACAATCTGTGAGTGTCCAAATGCTGTTACTGTCTTTCTTTCCTTCCTTCACAAATTTTCAGACACAGTACAGAAAATTCCAAATTTATGATTCTATATGCTACAGAATATATAATAGAAATTTCTCACATTTATTACTCAATTTGCCTGTAACTTGTTTTTACTCTCCTTTTTCAGCTTCATATTGTAAGTTAACTAGAACATGGGAAGGAAGGATGAGAAGACAATGCATTGTTTATACTGCATAAAAAAGTAATTATACGACGTATGAACAGGAAAGCATATTGTTTCATAAATGTGGGTTGGACCAACTGCTTTATGAGCACGGGAACATGATCTTTCATGTTCCTCCAATTAAGCTGGATCCGCTATTATCTGAACATCAAAGCCACAAGTGTTGCATCAAGATTTAATATCCCTTATAATATCAGTGCCTTAAACTTGAACTCCCAGAGAGAGGAGACTCAGGAGCTGTTCTCTGCCGAGCATGGTTACATCAGGTAGTTTTCCCTACAGTACTAAGTAGTTACAAGAATTTCAACACACCACGTGGGTTATCATGGTTCCTGAAGTAATCTTCACATTTACACCAGATACACATTAAAGGTGCCTTTATATAGTCGAGCATAAGCAGCTACTGCAAAGCCGTGCCTTGGTTGCTTTGTAGTATGGTGCTCTCCTCTGCTGCATACATCAGCAGGATCTTTGGGAGATTATTCTATGGGTTTTGGCTCTACAGAAGGCTAAACCACTTTAAGGCCTCTGCAAAAAAATCCCCATATGAAAGACTCTTTCTTGATGAACATTAGGTGCCGATTTATCTTCTGTGCTGGCATCTTTATTACAAGTTACCAGCCCCAGTAAAAATACAATCCAACTGCAATGTTTTGGACAAATTACTCAAAACTGCATTTTTCATAAGCACAATCAGGAACTTACTTTCCAATTCCTCCTTCTTCCATCAGAAAAGCTCGTTTGTTCTTATCTACTGTGAGATTGAGCAGAACTCCACAGGCAGAAAAACAGACATCACGGTTCTTGGAATCAAGCAAAGCAATCATGAACTTGTATACTGGATTGTAAAGAAGGAAACAGTATTACTGGGAAGATGGACTTATCACACAAGTGGCATTACAACACACTTATTAAAAATGTATCCTTATAAAGCAGGATACCCTACCCAAAAACTTAGCCTTGTAGCATATTATTGTGACATTTGTAGAAGATGGCTGAGCATTATACTCAGCATGGCTGAGTATAACGTCATACAGCACAACATTTTTATTTCATTCTATAAAAATACACCAAAGAAATGTGAAAATCCAGTTCAGAAGACATCAAGCTGACCAAACTGAATTGAAGTTTATTTCTCAAAAGCATCACCCTCCTTTCAATTGCACAGTCATCAGGAACTGCTAGGATTTGGCACCTGGCACTGTTCTTCAGTCTGTGAGGGGCAGGGTTGCCCCAGACTGCACTGAGTCCAGCTGGAAGTGCTACAGCCTGGGGTTCCTGCGGGAGACAGGCAAGAAGCAGAGGCTGGACGAGCAGCGTCTCGCAGCTCTTGCTGACACTGACTGGGGACGCTGTGGAGGCAACCCCAGCGAGGGAGTCAGTCTTGCCTAATGGAGAGGCAGCCTCTCAGCTCCTCCTGAGCTTGGCACACCGTCCACAGCCTCTCCCAGCTGGAAAAGACAGTCCTTTGACTGAGACAGTTCACCAGCAACCATCTAGTAAGCGTCAGTACTTTACCTCCAAAAACGGTGCTATGACCACATTTGACATGGGGTTGCATATTGAGGCATATCACCTCACTTTCAGTGCAGACAGGTAGATGTTAAGAAAATTTACAGTGAAATGGTGTCTAATTAAACTGATGACACGCCCTCTGTGGATAGCAAGGAGTTGCCATTTTTCCCAAAGCTCTTCAGATACCCAAAGCAAAAGGACTTGAGAAGACTTGTATCCTACTTCACCCAGAGGCAAGTAGGAGGTCTCTTTGTTGAGGCAGTGAAACAACTGCATCTTACAAAGTGCTAACAAACTGTTGAACACGGGTATCAAAAATATGTGATTATGAACCTAAATGAGAATTTAGTTGGATTTTCATTTTATATCATACCACTAATAACCTGTAGGATTTGGAAAGCTTGATGAGTGAAGGGAAATTTCAAAATTTGAATCTTTAGGAAAAACAGAGGTTTTGTAGTATTTATCTTTGCAAAAGCACCATGGTATATTTTCCTAATCCAATACTTCCATTTTAATGAAACTGAAATAAAATGGTTGTTTATAATGACTACTATTGGATTCTAATGTTTGCCTAATTTGCAAAACATCAGGGAAGATTGCTTCGGCCCTGTAACTGGGACAGCTTATTAACAACCTTTTCTTTTCAGAACCATGGACATTTAAAAACAGGACTCCTACAAATGCAAAAGCAACTCACTCTTTTTCTGCATGATGAAGTCACAGACCTCATGATACTGGGTAAGATTGCCAAAGACTCTGACAGCCTCCACAACTCCATCCATATTGTCGCTCATTAACAGCTTCAAAAGCACTATTGGTTTGCAGAGAAATTAAACAAAAACCATTACCTGTATATCACAAATACATGCTTGGCTTCTTATCAGTGAGTATCAGAATGCAAGCAGCAACAGCAATAAAAGTAAGAAACAGGAACAGTTGTCTGTCTGTCTCGTGGCAGTGGAGGGGGTGAGCTGATGGTGGAGTAAGAACTAAATTGTCTAGGGCTTTGAAGATGAGACAAAGAGCACCAACATGGGGCTAAATGCAAAGGAATAAACAAAGAGTTATGGAGACAGTCTAAGCACAGTTCTTATAATGGGAGCCAGCTTTGCTATGCATTTTTGAGTGGGCTCATGTGGACATGCAGCAAGACATTATTAAAAAAATGTTGTAATATATAAGAGACTTGATTTAGATCCTGAATGGATGGTCTTATGGTGGGATGTCTCCTAAAACTGAAATTACTTTCTGACAGTAGCTCTGTTTTCTCTCGTTGCTCCTATAACAAGAAAGCACATTTTCTCTGCAGCTACTTAATATTGTCTCAATCTGAAGCATTCACTTCCTTTCTGCTTTCCTGCTTAACAACTTCATATATGATTAGTGTGTCACTTCAGCAGGAGAACGAGAACTTCAGCATTTCCTAGGAAGAGCTATCATCATGGGGGGTTTTGCTGCATGGCAAAGAGTGGTGTTACAGAAGTTACATTTATCAGTCTCCTGTGAGTGTGACACAAACCACTGAAATCAGTCCATCCTATATAGAATTCAAATAAGTCAACCTTTAACCCTTCTACCACAGAAAAGTGAAGAAAATAAATATAGAATAGAGGTTGGCTTAGTTCCCATTACTTCTGTCTCTGAATGTTGCAATACTGAACATGTTTTGAACTTGTCTTAAAGAGACATCTGAAATTATTATTTTTGTCTTTGGGAACCACCACTCGTATCATACAGCAAATATTCTCAAAATGTCTCCTGGAGGAGGAAGCCTGCTGGTCTTCCATTAAAGGGTTTTCTCTTTCCTCAGTTCAGGCAGAGAAAAGGTGATGGGACTAGTTCCACATGCTAACAATAAAAACAGAAGAGGGACAGCAAATGGGACAGGCAGAAGAGTAATTTGTTTCCATGTTTTCCAACCAGCAGTAAGAGGCAGCTGGCTTACAGGTGATAAAATGAGTTGTGCCAGAACAGCAGAACTGTTATCTCTACCAGGCAGGGCACCAGGTTGACAGCCAGGCTATTTTTTTCCTATTCCTTGTTCTACCTGTTGTGCAAACTTCAGGCTCTGTCTCTCCCCCATGTCTTTTCTATTTAGACAGAAAGATGTACAGGACATAGACTCTCTACCTTTTGCACAACATTACACAATGAGACCTAGAACTCAGTTGCAGTTCTTACACATCACTAAATTTTTGTTGTCCATACTCTCAGGGGGAAGAGAATACCCCAATACAATATTGCCAATGGATTTATAAAGCCAGAAACAGGCTTATAAATCAGAATTTGCAGGTACAGAAGGTACCAAGAAGAAAAAAAAAATCTTATTGTACTCTGATGAGAAGTAAAAAGCCACACGATTATTTCAGCTCAGGTATATGGATTTTGAACAAAACCAGCAAAAGTTGCTACATAGAAAACAATATGGCAAATTCCTTTGGGGAGTAAAGGAAGGAGTTTTGTCAACAACCCAGCTACTTTCATATAACTCATAGAATTACTTTCCAAAAGAATCAGCAACGATCATGGGAAGAATTTAGCCCCTATGAGCTTTATATTCCTGCAATATGATACCACAAAACGCTACCAGTGTCTTTACCTTCTGTTACGTCAAAACATTCCCACTTTCTAAAAGCTATGCAAAAAGTACTATTTTAAAAGCCCTTACTTTCAGCAATGTGCAGCTTCTTGTCTTGAACCACAGAACTCTCCACTCGGTAGTAGGACAAATTGCTGATTGTTGTGGCAGCATTGATGACCAGCTCTTCACAGTCATCGATGGACTTGTATTCTGGGAGTCAAAACCCCACAAAACATATGTAAATTCACGTGCACATGATTCTAACTTAGGAGTGCATTAGATCTCGAAAGCAAACTGAATAATGGTTTACGTGGTCACTATTGTAGTCAACTATTCTGTTTTTCAGGATCATAGCAGAAGCTAACAGGAACACCCAATCCAAAAATGGCAACACAAAGTCACTCTTTACAACTATTAATTTACAGAAATCATTGTGAGTAAGGAAACATGATTTAAAATCTAGTTAGCTAAGCCGTTTTACAGAACCTATTTGCTATTTTAAGATGGCACTGAGGAGAATCCACATGCATAAATATGGTTATGGGATAGACACAGAGAAATACTAAGGACTATTATACTGAAATATCAGGTACCTTGAAAAAAAAATTGGATAAAAAAATCTTTAACAATATTTGAAAGATTCTCTATCTTAAAGAGTTCCTTACAGATTATTAACCAGCATAAAACCCCATCCATAAGTCTGAAAGTTGTGTATACTGATTGACCTGAGGTTTCTGGCCTCAGAAACCAAGAATGAAGGAAACAAAAGAGGGGAGAAGAGAACATTTTGTAGTAAACTGACTGATAGAGTGCCCAAGAAGAGGGGGAGGGCTAGCAGAGAGAAGTTCTGAAGCTCAAAAGCACTTACACAATGATTAAGACATTAAGACAGTTTCAACCCATGAGACAGAATGAAGTTGTGAGTCTGCCTTCTCTAATCCCCCATGACTGATAAGATAGTGTATAATCAGGTTGATTGTCTTAACATAATATTTAACGATCTCATCACAGAGTAAAACACACTGAGCTGTCTGAGATGTATCTTGTCACTGCTAAACTCTGTTATAGGGAGAACAAACCCAGTCCTACTCTGTAATTAGATTTACAAAGGGATCAGTAAGCGGTAAAGGAACTACAGTCCTAAGCCTCCATTTGGCAGGAGAGGGACATGCTCTTCCATCCAAAAGAGATACAAGGTTGGAAAAAGAAGAAAAAAATAAGAGAGTATTCTTTGAGCACGCTGAAAGTTAGGAGTGCAGAGAACAAGAAGAATACTTAAATGAGAACAGCCAAAAAATGTAAACCTTAAAAAGAATACCAACACCAAACACATCTATGTAGCACCTGATAAGAACAAACTTCCCTTATATATGAACCCTCAGTGAGATGTGTTTGAAATAAAATTTCTTTTCTTATCCTAAGGATCATATCTGCAAATTTGATCACTGAATTAAACACTTCTACAACATCTTTCCCCAGACACTGAAAAGTCAGGATCAAAGCAGCAATGCATCCACTGTCTCAAACAGGCCTTCTACATAAAATAGTTTATGAATATCACCAAACTGACTTTGGGTTTTTCTTCCAATGAAAAATCCTAAACTCTCATTACAGGCTGAAGGAAGGTAACAAACATAACATAGATTTTATTACCTAGTACTGCAACAAGTAATTCAACAACACGATGAGCAGCTGCCAGGGTGGCTCCTATGATGGGATGAATCGAGAGATTGGCCAGCACTCTTATCAGTTTTATCATAACATCTTCTGCTTCTGAAGGATGCTTTAGGTGTTTTTTTCCTTTTCCTTGTCTATCATGGTACCACATCTGTGCATTCAAATCAAGTTCGTAGTAGGTTTGGAATAATGATGTCAAGGTGTTAACACTTTCTTTTTCTTTAAAAAATTGCTCACGGGCCTGGTTATTCTTTGCTGTTAAATTACCAAGAATGAAGACGATACGGATAACTAAATCCTGCAGTAAAATAAATAAACAAACCACATTACATGGAAAACATCAGAAGGTATTAGCTGCTTAAAACGATAATACTTCATTTGTTTCACAATTCAGGTAACAGCACATCCAGAACAACTGAAGGAATTCCAGATACAGCACCTAGAAATAATTTTTTTACGCTACCATTTTCATAACCCAAATCATGTAAGAAATCAAAAACATCTAACAGAATTAGTATAGCACTGGGATAATTACTAATGGGATATACTTAGTATAGGTCATCTATTTTTACCAAGCCCACAGTAATCTTAAAACGTCTTAAAACAGCACTTTATATAACTAGAATAATCATATGGGCCAGTGCTTACTAATCTTTCAAGTGTCAGCTGTGACGGGCAAAGACCACAACCTTTCCTCCTCTAGGCCTGGTAATGACTGTAGAGGTTAAACTCCATCCCATTGATTTGTTCCTGTTAAAGCCACATTAGCTCTTACTCATTTAATTGTTAATCTCAATTGCTTACAGACAGCCAAATTATTCGTTCCAGATTTTTACCAGAAATGTAATCTAAGTTGACTGGTCTGTTATTCTCCAGTTCCTCCTCTTTCTCCTTTTAAAAACAGGTGCCCTACAACCTTGAAATTCTACATAATTTTTCAAGAATCTCAGTGATTGGAATCCCCTTTCTGTCCTTTTGTAAACACCAAAGTTAAACTGCATCAGGCCTAGCTGTCTTGAGGACATTTAAATATGCTCCAGCTCATTTTGTAGTGATAAAAGAACTCCAGCTGAAGTAGAGATCACTCATTTTGGTCATACTTAACCCTTTCAGAAAAAGAAGCAAAAAAAGGCATTCCACAAAAAAAAAAAAGCACTTCACTATTCACAGTGACATCGGTCAATAATGTTCACGTTCTTCTGAACACTAGAGCAATTATTTCTTTATTGTCTCCTTACTCTAATACAAAAAGTTTTCTTGTTTCTTTTTATGTCTCATTTTGTGCCTTTTTTTTTTTCTATTTTGATTTTATGTGCTCTTCCTACCCTTTTATCCTTCTCATTGCTAAGCGAAGCCTACTTTCTATTTTTATAAAGTATCTTGGGATCTCATGATTTAACCAAGTTGCTCTCTTAAAGCACTTTCTAGCCTGATCTTCAGTGGGATAAAGAATTACATCTCTTGCTGCTTAATTCTGTACATACTGAGATAAAGCCTTTCTGTGGCAAGACCAGTGGATCCTCATTGAATGGCATTTAACAACATATCCATCTTTTTCTTACCCACCAGTATGTGACAAGAAAAAAAAAAAGTTCTGAAAGTCTGAAGTGACCCAAGTTTAAACTAATTAAAACATTTGTCTCTGTCACTTGCACCAAAACCTACACATTTCCAAAAAAGAAAAATCTGTAGCTTTATCTTAATAGGGCAGGTAAAGTAACAGCATTTCTTCTACCCTTACAGATGCACCTGCACTAACCTAGAATTTTGCTACACAATTAACATGTTGTTTTTCTTCAAATATCTGAATTATATTTACACATATTCTAATCCTCTCTGGCATTAATAATGTAAGTTAACCAGGCACTGTCAAACTCTGTATACATACTAATAGTGAAGGAAAAAATATGTGTAAGCAGCAAGTTCTTCTTTCCTACAGGCCTTCCCCAGTAAGTTCCAGGTTTTAAGCCTCTGCCACAAGATATTGGCAATAACATCCTTTCAGGAACACGAGTGCTATCATCGTACATGAGAAGCAGCAGTCTCCTAAGTGAGGAAAAGGTTCTCACATCCATATATTTAATTTTAGTATCAGTCTACAGGACCTGCTCCAACTTTTTTTAACTAGGCATCATGTTTTTTCCTAGCATCTAAATGTCATCAAGACAAATTTTTATGAGCATTCTTACTGACTAACCACCAAGAGCTTTCACCTTTGCTGGCACAACACCCAATTCACACAGGCTGTAAAAATTTGAAACAAACAACTGATGAATCAGAAGAGAGAACTGAGAAAAGCAGGCAGTCTAGTTCGACTCGTTTATATTGACTTTCTAATTTTGGTCAAAATGGTATCAGCCCAGCAACAGCTCTGCCCAATCAGGAAACAGACAAACAGGTACCGCAGAGCAATCAACTGATATTTTGAGAAGTGTGATCTCAGCTGTGCTTTCCACCTACAGCCCAGCAAAACAAACTTATAAAACACTTCTTTTTTAGCTGAGCACATCCGGTTTTAATAGAATAGCATCGAAGATTCATTATCTTCCAGTGAAAATTTAACTAATAGAGTCAAAGAGGAAAGCTGGTATTGACTTCTCCCAAGTAGTACAATGCTCAAGGGTTTGTATTATTTTTGGCAATATTTTTTTTAATGCTCATGGGTAAGCACTGCAAGAGCAACAAACACCATCTCAGAATTTCTGTGTAAAAAGTACGTGCAAAGCTGAAGGACATTTTGAAACTGCTTGCAAGACTAAACCTGTGCAAGGCCCACGGGCCTTTCTGCATACACAGTTAAAAAAAATAAAATTATATAAGTGAGATTACTATGCATCTCCAAATTTTTTGAGTATTAACTGCATATGGAATTTCAGCCATTCTTGCACACTTACAGAAAAATTACATTTATCAGATCAATTTATATAATACGGAGGTTTTAACATGTATCACACTAAAGATAAATTAGATTGAAGACAGGAATTACACTCAGTTATTTCATCTTTTTATAGTGAGGTATTCAAGTGAGACATGCTGTCCACACAGTACCCAAACCTGAGTAGAAGGCTTTATATCAGACCACACAGCTTCACTTATACAAACAAATTTGAAGAAAAAAATCAAGAGAAACTTGAGAAGATGATCTGTTTCTTTGCTTGCTATCTGTGAAGAAACTGTGATATTTTTGTTTTTAAGGTGGTAATGGCACCACATACTCCATCAGCATTTAACTCTTATTCTTCTGGCAACTGGAACATTCACATTTGATCACAGATATGAAAGATTTCTTTGCTTATCTACTTCTAAAAATCTATTCCTTGCACTGCCCTAGTAGCAAAGGTACCTCATGGACTTGCTGAGTCACAGAACTTAACAGTTTATCTTGGCAATTAAAGTATACCTGCCTTTCAGTGTAAAGCCTGATGAACAGAGGTACAAACAGTACAGGCTTACTTATCAGTAGGAAAGGAAAGAAAATTAAGTCAATAGTTTCTAATCAAAAAAAGATAAATAAGGAAGGGGAGTCCATTCCACAGTCTGTGCATGCTGACCAAGTACCTGTTGTTACTTTATTTGGTGTCTGGGCCCTCAGAAGGGGAGGGATAGTACAAAACAAAAGGTCAGATGCCAGCAGCTGAGTTCCTATTGAATCATCAGCTGTAAATGAAATGCGCTCTCCATGTTACACAAACTTCAATGGAGTTAGTCAAAATTCTATCACCTGCCCTGCTTCTCATTCAAATTTAATTTACACTTCACTTCCAAATTTGTATTTCTGCTTTATTATGCACCTTGGAAAGAAAATCTGGGAGTTTTCTTTGCAGGGTCTGGTAGTCTACCTACAGACAAAATTGCAGTAGTTATACCATCCTGGTGCTAATCTCTCACAAACATAGTAAGGATTCATCTTGAAGTGATGTTCTAGATGTGAAATTTCCTGTTCAAACCCAGAAATAGCAACTGACACAAAATGAAATTCAATTTTAAGAGGAAAAAAAAAAGGCAGGGGGGAGTGGGGAAGAGGAATGTGCTGAGAGTGGTGTAGAATAACCTGGAAGTATGAACAGCAAATAAAGAGGTGCTTGACTGAGGAATGTGAAATAAAGAGCAGAGACGAGAAGCTTTGCCACAGTGATAGCAGGGAGTATTTTGTCAGTAAAAAGGGAGCCTCTTTCCCCTCCACATATGAATATATGGATGTATTTGATAAGTAGAGGCCATTAGAAATATGGAATTATACTACTGTGTATCCATATCACAGGACCCTACCTGGTAATTTCTACACCCCAAAATACGATCTGTTAAGCTAAACTTTTCAGAAAAGGATTCAATTGCACTTAGTGACTTTTAGCAATCAAGAACTCATGTTCTTAGGTTTGTTTGTGGACACCTGGACATCTGGGAAAGGTAACAAAAAAAAAGCAAGCATAGTGTCACCAGAACAACATTTGATGAAAAGCAGTGTACGTTCTCTAAAAAAAAAAAAAAGAAAAAAATCAGAAATTAAATGAATGGGAAAATAAGTTGAAAACCACATCCCTCACAGTATTGCTCCAATGATTACTGATCTCTCTGGTTAAAATCTTTATTCTTATTACTAGTTTACATTTGTACAGCTTTAGCCACTATTTCTTATTAGTTCTTTTTTCTAGATTAAAGGCTAGTCTGCTAACAGAAAGATGTGCGGATTCTATGAATAGGCAGCTTGCTAATGGTCTGACCTTTGTCATGGATAAATTAGTTTGCTTGGGCTTTTAAAACTCTAATCATTCCTTTGCTCTTTTCAGAGGTGTTCCCAAACTTTCAGCATCTTTTGTAGAAATTAGTACCACAAACTAAGGCAACATATTTTAGTGAGAGTGTCTGTCTCACCACGCAGTAATATCTTCTTCTTATTTGATATTCTAATTTACCTGTCTAGTGATTATATACATGCACTTGCATCTTTTGATACATCAGAAAAGCAGGCTTCTATATGATACACACCAATGAAGGCTGGTTGACTACAAACTTTGAGCTCTACATTCCCGATAATTTTATACTCAGAGTATACATCATATATTCTGCGCTTCTCTTACCATTTTTGCTTTTTCTTTCAGATAAAAAAAAGGAAAAAAAAGAAAAAAAATTCACAACTAAAGTATTAGGAAGATGCAAATACACTATCAGCTTGGCATACTGTCAGAAATCATACTGTAGGGAAAGAGTGACATTCTGTGGTTATTCACATTTGTCAGCAGGAAGGTTCCTTAAGAGTTGTCAGAATATATATCCTAAAGTTGATACTTCCTTCTTGGA